GTGGGCTAGTGGTTAACAATTGTGACTACAATATGGAACCATCACTTTCCAGTGAGACTAGTTTTATCATGGCAGTAATATTTAATTATTGCTTGCTATGCTGTGTTTTGGGAATGGTATGCAAAGGTAAATCGAAGGCTCAGCTGTCCCATTACACTGAAATAACGTTCATTGCTGTAAAGTAAATCCATTTCAATGAAGCATGTCACAGACCATTTTGAGTTGCTCCTAATATGCAGTTTCTCAGTGTATTCAGTTTAATTTCACTCAGTCATTTGAATCTGTTGACAACAGTTATTTCAAGTTAGTTTTATGGAAGAATAAAGGAATAAAATTTGACCAACTTTCTTTGCACGTATGTTGTACTGCCTTAATTGTCTTGTTATGGGAAGTAAAAGTACAAATATAGTTAGTGTATGTATTTGTATATGCTGCGTTTTGCCAAGAAGTATCAGTCACTTAAGAACTTAGGTTCCATTCTTTCAAAATTTATACTTAGTTATTAAGTTTGCTTTTTTTTATGTGTAAGTTATTTAGTTTGCTTTTTTTTATGTGTACGTTAGGATATACCTGGTTAACATTCTTGAAAATCAGGTCATTTTCTGTATGGCTAAGCCATACAACTAAATCTTCATTTTGGACATCCTTTAAAAAATATCTTCACTCTGTTGTGCGTGTAGAGTGTGCTCAGCTTTGTTGCATTCAGTCAGTATTAACTGTTTGTTGTGTTGTTGCATTGCCAACTCTACTGATTCAAAAATCCCATTAATGATTTCCCAGTGTTTCTTGATAATGTTTATTCGGTCATACTCTCGGAGTAAAATCTAATCTATCTGTTATAGTTAACAGTATAATTACAATAATTTTGTTATTGTGCTGTGTAAGGACATAAAATCAGTGGAAAATAGGACAAAGAAGTACATTTCAGAACACTTGATCTTGAAGTTTATCCATCTTTTTTGGTACAGTTTTCATCCAGTGTTTTTCACTGAAGAAATAGAATGTGAGATCTGGAAGAGTTGTGGCTTTCATTTTAGAATCAACTATAAATACCTTTCCTTTAAACACTGGGGAGGACTGTTAGCAATGTACAAATTATTGCCATCTACATTTTTATGTAGTTAGATTTATGCATATGCATTTTTTAATATTGCCTTCTGTTTGCTATCTTTTTGTACAAAGCTAAGGTCTGTGCTAATATCCAAACAAACAGAAAAAAAAAAAAAACCCAAACCAACCATATCTAAACCCACAACAGTTGTCAAGATGCTTTTATTAAATAATTATATATGGCTACGATGACCATCTTGCTTGTGCTGTGCATGTCATTTGAAGCTGGCACTTCTGTTGAAGATACACAGTGCCTATACAGCGAGGGAGACCTGTGTGACTAATGTATGTTAGTAGTGCACAACTACCACTGCAGAGAGGGGCAGATCAGAAAGCTTTCAAGGGGTCCTAAGTTCATTCTTTTGACTGCAGTGTTAGCACTGTTAATGGTGGTGATGGAGGTATCTTGTATCCACTTCATTGCCTTCATTTCTGCTTTTCTCTGTGGAGTTCATACTGTTCCAGTTGCTCTAAATTTTAGTAGATGTCCCTGGCATGGCGTAATTATTTCCTTTCACAGGGAGGCTGAGGCTGGAGATGGATTCTGTACCTGCTGCCTAGTCTGTGTCTGTGGTCGTCAGAGATCATACAGATGTTCTTAAAATCTTTACTCTCTCATCCTGGGTAGCTTGTTCAAAGTCTTCCAGGGGGGTGCCTGAAAGGTCAGATTGAAAGGGAAGCCTGCGTGAGGACTTTAGTTTAAACTCGTAGCATTCGTTATCTTCTGTAAGAGTTTTTGAAATAGTAGTTTCACTGACTTTGAGCATACTGTGAGGCATATGTATTAGTTCTTTTACTTAATGGAAGGAAAGATAAATTTCAAACTAAATGCTATTTATTTAATATAGTATTATGGTGGTTGGCAACATGGGCAAGGACTCCTAAGAGGGAAGTAGCTCCTTTTCAAATGGGTATACATTTTCACCTTGACTGTCCTCTGGTATTAATTTCTAAATCAAATTATTGAAGTTTTTATTTCCATCTGCGTTCTAATCCTTCAAATTCTGTATTTACGACTTACAAAAATAATCTTAAATATATAAATGGGGATGGCGGGGGGGGGCACATGCAAACCCTGGGGCTTACTAACATGGTAAGAAGAAGCAAGAAACCTGCAAATGTACTTTAGTAGTTGCTTACTTAAAATACCTCTTTCTTTGGTTTGTTTTTTTTGGTTTTTGTTTTTTTTTTGAATGAATTGTCTGAAACAATTGAGCTTTGTACAGATTATGACATTACACTTAAATGCCTTACCAAGTAACGAGGAGTGAATGGTTTTACTGTCTTCAGTTTGCCCTGTTCAATTGAAAATATATAAAAATTAACACAATTTATTTGAAGAGAAATGTATAGCTCCCACTCCAGATAGTATCCAGCACCACAAACCAAATTTAGTTTTTTTCTGAGATTTCACAGCAGAAGTGGCTGTTGCAAGTGGTCTTCAGGAGGAGAAAATGTTTATGATGGACTGCACATTACATGCAAAGTATTCAAATAAAACAGTCTGACTTATGTCAGATGCAATTAAATAGGTTATTAAACAAATTGCTTGTTACTTGTAAATGTACAGTGTTTATTAATATCAAAACTGTTTTGGTCTGCATGCTTATCCTAGGAAAAAAGAAACAAAATGTCTTTTGGGGATTAAGCTTTTAGTCTTGAGTATTTTAATTCAAATTTAGGATGCAGCTGTCCCGTATGCTACTATGGTGTCGGGGAAAGTGCAAGTTGTCAGAGTTTGGTAGATGCACTGAGAGGGATGTAAGGCTCTGATGCTTTGGATATTCCTCAAAGTAAAAGCGTGTAATTACTTGGCTAGTTGGAGTTAATGCTTAATTGATTTGCTTTACCAGGCACCCTACAGTGATGATTATGTTTGTCTAAAGAGAAGACACAGATGTAGCAATTTAAAGGTCCCTAAATCCTTCTCTTCAACTTAATTGGCATTTTTCTGCTTCTGCATACACAAAGGGATGAAGTCTCTTCTTACAGTCCTGTGTGACAGCTTCTCCTGCAGTAGATTTGTCATTGTCCTTCACCGGCGCTAATTTCTTCAGATATTTCCTAGTTGCTGTAGCCCTTTACTAGTTAATAGAGCTAAAAAGCCTGAAAAATGAACTAATGGCATTGTCAGGACAGGTGTATTGATAGCATAATCCTCAGTGAAAACATATTCTGAGTTACTGGGGAGATAATCCATCATCTTGAGCTGTTCTGCATTATATTTTCAGTGAGGTTCTGGCAGGCAGATGAGAGGTCACTACAGTCTCTGTAAGAGCTTGGTATTTCCAGGTAGGATGGAGAATGACCTGAGCAGTACCAGGAAGTTAAGGGCAGAGATAAATCTTATCCCTTTTAGGTTTGTAATTGCAAAGAAATATTTTGTAGTAAAGTTAATTAAAGTGATAAATATTAATCTGACCTGAGAAGTTGCAAGGGGCTTGTTTATAGTTATAGGAGGACATGATTTATTCTTCACTGTGCAAACAGGAAGAAAGTATTTTGGGGGGAGATGTGTGTGTGTGTATTCCCTTCATTATGATGAAGAAACCATAGTGATCAGGAGACTGATAAGTTGCTGGCCTATCAGCTTAACACGACAAGTTTCTTCCATATGTTTTATATCATGGACCATAGGTACTGATGCTAGTAAGATACCGAATCACACAGCTGATAGAAGGAGGTATAAGAGAAAAGCTTTATACTGGAAAAAGCTTTTTCCTAGTCATTTAACGGTATACTTTTATTTTTTAAATATAAAACAGCATACATTGTATTACTGGCCATAATTTGTTTTAATTACAGATAACAGCAAGTCAAAAGAGAGCAAACACGAAACACTTGAAACAGAAGTTAATTTATTTTAATCTGTAAAATTCCTTGCCTCATGTTTCCTACTAACTTCCCCTATGATCCAGGTGCCTTGATGCTCCACTCCTGTTTCTGCCCTCCTCAGCAACTCTGGAGTGGCATATGAGGTTGTTGCCTTGTTTGGTTTTTGAGGTCTAGTGCTTGTTGTCCAGAAATGACTGCTCTGCTCATACTGATGAGACTTTATACTTATGGTTGTTTCCTGTCAGAAATCTACCAAGTCTGGGCCTCTTACCTTCCAAGATCAGGTGTATTCAGTTCAAGGTGGTGGAAGCAGGCAAGGGTTGAATGCTGCAGCATTACGGAAAGTAGAAATAGAGGTAGCTGAACATCAAGCCGTAATACAGCTCCTGTGATAACAGATACAATTCTGACACTCTTTAAGAGAAGAATGAGTGGCAGAGGCAGAAAGCATTACTTGGTTTGAGGGATAAACAGAAGTGAATACTGATCCACATTCATTTATTTGCCTTTGTTCCGAAATTACATCCACGGACACCTGGAATAGAACAAAAAGATCAGTTTGTGCTAATACAGTGATATGAGCCATGACTTCCTAAACTGGAGGGTGGAGAGTGCTCAGATGTTGTTGTTGCTACATTTCATAAGCAAATATTTCTTTTGAGGAAGTAATGACATTTCTATCAAAGAGGGAGTAAACACTTTGCTTTTCTAACTTCAGAACCACTGGAACTAAATTCATTGCTTCTCAGTGTCAGGGCTTCCATTAAGCCAATGGTACTACTCCGATGTAAGTTACACCCCAGGGCAGCAGCCATGGCAGTGGGTCCTTATTCTACTCATCATTCTTCTCTTATTTGCATCATATAGAGCCTAGAATGAGACAGCTGTTTTTGTTCTGGTGAGGCTCTGTTACTGTTTGAATACACTGGTAATTAATAGGTGAGGTTTCTGTGGACGAAAAGGTGAATATCTTGTCCTGTAATTCCAGCCAATATCTTATTCTTTTTTTTTTTAATGGTAACAATGTTACATTTCCATTAAAAATTTAATTTTAGGGTAAGATGGTGAAAGGAATGGGAGGTGCCATGGACCTGGTATCCAGTGCACAGACCAAAGTGGTCGTCACCATGGAGCACTCTGCCAAGGTAAGGCTCTGACACTTCTGCTGTACCAAAAAAAAAAAGAAAAAAAGAGCTCTTACGTTCATTCTGCTACTTTGTGAGGATTTGACGGTTTTGCTGTTAGCTGTTATGGAGATGCAACAGGGAGCTATGTTAGTATGGTTCCTTTCCTCTTGTAAGTAAATCATTCACCGTGGAACAAAATGAAATATTAACTTGATGTTTAAAGCTGCATACATTTTTTAGTTACTTCATGAAAATTTAGTGAGAGTGGCAGTTGCCAGAGCTACAGTAGATGCTGCCCCAGAGGTTTTACTCTGCACCTCAGAATAATTTGAAAAATGAGGTTCCCCATGATTAAATACTCGCTATGATGGAAAGATATTTATGTTTGAAGATGCCAGTCAAACTGGTGCTGACAGCTAAGAATAGAGCTTTTTGGCATGATGAGATGTAGGCTGCATAAGGTCATTATGTGATAGAAGTTAATCTAGAGACTTCTTTGCAGGGGGAGTTCTATAGGTATAAACAGACTCCCACAGAAGGTCATAGGAAACTTGTCATTTGAAACTTCTAAAACAGGACTGTCCAAACTATGGGAAAAATGGACTAAATGACAAAAATCTCTATTTTCAGGAAACTATACTGGATGTTTAAAAATGAACTTTTTGTTCAGTTTCTGTGTTTCTCTTATTCCAAATTTGTTGTATTCCTGCAGTAAGAATTGGTTGTGTATTGTTCACGATAATATCCCTGTCAGAATACATAAGGGCAAGCACAAGGAATTTGCATGATAAACTATAGTAAATATGTAAATATGAAAGCTGAATATATTAACAACTGTATGTTTTTTAAATGTAATTTGAAGAATGAATTTTCACTTTAAAAAAATTGTTGAAAAATATAGTAGTTTCACAATACTAAGCTATGATCTCAAGGGACACATTTTCAGTAACAGGGCTGAGTGTGCCTCCATAGTTTTCTCATGCATATGTGTAAATAAGCAAAGAAAAGTGCAAAGCAAATTCGTCTGTATGACTTGCATCCCTATCACTGCTTCACAAAAACTGTAGATGTAATTATCCATTTGCTCAGTCACATACTTCAGGTATTAATGTGATCTGAATAAATGTTTATGCTAAATTGCTGGTTACTGTGGAATTCTGTTAAGGCTCAAGAGTCCACACACAGTGTAATATGCATGCCAGTTTTCTCTTACCAAAATCTTTTTTTAGTACAGTGTTTGGAAGTTGTTTGCACGTTGGTTTTTTGTCAATAGGAGTACTGAAAGCTGAAAAAGGTGGAAACAGATACAACTGCTACAAATAGTCCAGGCATAGACTTATTTATTTTGGCATATGTATACATAACTTGGGCTCTTATGTACGTGGGATGCCTGGTGTGCACTTCTACGGAGCCAGATATTGGCTTTCATAAATTATTTCTTTTGCTTTTGTGAGAATCACAGAATCACAGAATCACAGA